CTCTATAAATCTTGGTCGAGTCTCTTTTCATTAGCTCTTCTAAATTAGCAGCAAATTAGCTTTTAATGAGAAGCACTTCGAATTTAGGACCTTTTTTGTCATAGCGTCACGCGCCGAAAAATGGTTCTAAAAATTCGAGCCTTTAACCACATACCTTCATTTTTAGAACAAAAGTAGAGTATGGCGAGCTGCGTCGAATGGCGGAAGAACAAAGTTTCTAGCTGTTACACTTTTTGAGAAAAGCTCAAATTACTGTGTAACCCCACTTCCTAAGCTTGTGACATTGATGGATGAGTGATCTTTCTACTAAATGTTGTGTGATGAATTATGACTCTATATTCGTCATAGGTGCAGAGCGTTCCCTCATTGTTTATCGTGGTCAACTGATTGATCCAGACGAGATGGCTAAATTGAGAGATAACATTGGCAGTCTGGTTTCGTTCAATTCGTTTGTGTCAACTACACTTGATCATGATGTTGCCGTTAGATTTTCGGGCATGGGTGAGCAGCGTCCGTCACAGGAATCGGTTCTATTCAAAATCGTGATCTTCACATCGGACGAGCAATGTTTTCCGCCCTACGCCGATATTTCGCATTTGAGCCGGTTCACCGACGAACAAGAAGTGATACTCTCAGTGGGAAGCGTATGCAGTATCGTCTCTGTACAAGATGAAGGTACACATTGGTGCGTTCAAATGTCTCTCTGCTCATGGAACCATCCACGCCTCACTCAGATGAAAACAGCTGTATTGAATCCATTGATGCAGTTCGAATCTAGGAGTGAAACCACCTCAATCAACATTCTTGGATACCTGCTTATGACGATGGGCGAAAGACAAAAGGCTCTTATGCTACTCGAGATGGGTCCAACCACCGCAAGGGGCTTATATTCCGACCAGACGCGACGCGGTTTCGACACTTTAAATGGGCTTTTTCGATTTTCAAACGAGATGACGCGCAGCAGTGTGACACCAGATCGCTCGACAATGGTCGATGAAGCTCAGCGAATCTTAGCCTACTACAGGGACACATCAAATAGCATGAGAGAGATATCGAACTTCCTGAGTCAATTTCCGGAGCATGCATCTTCTATTACACCATTGGTGCACACAGTAGAGAATTTATGCGGATTCGTCAGCTCCGTGTTTTCCGGTATGGGAGATCAGGACAAAATACCACATTTGTTGTCACAATTGGAAAGTACAGAAGCGGCATTGCAACATTCATTTCTACCTGACCATCCGTTAATGACGAACTTCGCAAGTCTCAAGGGTCTTTTTCAAGCAGGACAAGGCAATCACGCGGGTGCAATAGTTGAGCTAGAACAGTCATTGCGTAATTTTGATTCCATTCTTGGCACGCAGTATCCAGTCCGCTGGGGTATATTGGTTTCAATAGGTGATGCTGCAGAAAAACTTCATGATGAGGAGAAAGCGCTTGACTCGTACATGCAGAGTCTCGAAGTGTACGATCCCGACCCTGTCCTCGATATCAAAAATCGTCTCTATTCTACAGAACGCTTAGCTAGACTTTTTATGAAGCGCGAAGAATTCGATGTTGCTATTCAATTCTACAGCAACATCGTCGATATGCCACAAATTTCGCCCCGGTCGCAGGAAATTGAGTGTGCGCTTGGAGAAATTATCAAGATCCATAAGAAACGCGGCGATTGGGAAGCAGCTATTAGTAGCATGCAACAACTGATAGGCATCAAACGGGCAAACGGTGCAGATGTGGAATACTATGAGAGCCAGATTGCGATGATGGAACAACAGTTGCATCAACGAGAATAAGATGAACGAGTCTTTGTTTTTTAAGTTTCATTTTTATCAATAAATTACATTATATGTTCGCATTTTTCGTTCCAGTGAAGCGCTCTTGAACTTTTGATAAAATGTTAAGACTTGAAAATTCGATGGATGATAATAACGAGAGTTCGATGGAGATAAGCCAAACCACTGCGCGTAAATTAAAGCTCAGGATTCCTCCTACCATGAAAGCGAGGGACCGATCTTTCTCTCAATGTTCTAATAGTTCTCAATATTCTAAATGTTCTCAATGTTCTCATCGTTCTCAACCTTCTCAATGTTTTCATACTTCTCAATTTTCTCACAGTTCTCAAACATCTCACAGCCCTGAATCTTCTCATAGCTCTCAATATCCTGAATGTTCTAAATCTTCTCAACCTTCTCACAGTTCTCAACGTTTCCACAGTTCTCATTTTTCTAACAGTTCTCAATCTTCCCATAGTTCTAAACGGCAAATAAGTGAGACATTACATGCGCGAAGTAGTAGGGCAGAAAGTGAATATGGAGACGAAACAATAACGCTGTTAAAGCTGAACCCTGTGGTGCACCACCAAAAATCCTGAAGATTCTTGACTCTGAATCTCCGTGTGAGATGGTCATTGATCGATTTTGTAACCAACCAAAGAGTCATCGACGAGGTTGCAGAGGCATATTTAGTTGTTCAAGTGTTGTCATTAGTGCTGGACATATCACTAGATGCAGTTTTTTGGCGCTGATTATGAATCTCACATTAGTTTTTTAAAAAAGTTAAATTTTGGCAACAAAAATCCACTTTTACATTTTATGAAACTGTATTTTCAATTTCCTCACCTAGACACTTTTCCTAATAAAAATGGAAGGCCTCGACCAATGTACCTCGACCAAGATTGGTAGAA